AGACTATACCCAGCACTCCATTTCATTCAGTTAAAACATCATCTTTGATTATCATACATCTGAAAACGCAAAATATTCTTCTCCCAAAATGTAGATCTCCTTCCTCCCCAGCGGGCAGGTGGCAATGTCCTGCCCATCACTGTCAGCTCAGATCATTTTAAAATCCAAACAAATGCCAACAGTCAAAACATCATCCTACTATGGTTTCCTTCTTTCCAACCTGAGCCAGTTCTACAGCCTAGACTTAAATCTCTGTTAAGTGCTAAGTGATATGTTCAGGTCTGAAATGCACTCCATTAATGACAGCTGTTCTTACCTATGCTAACATTTTTGTTTTTACTAACTTTGTAAAGTTTTATCAAGAATGCTAATAATGATAATCCTTGCATTTGATATAGTGCTTTTCATGACTTCGAGACATCTCAAAGCTCTTCACAGATACTGTAAAGTGAATTGACTGTATATTTGTGGGCAAAACATTGCAGCCAATTGCACACACAATCCACAAACATTCGTGGATTGAAGTGACCAATTTATTATTGTTTTCTTGCGGGATTATCATCAGGCGTGTGGAAAAGAAACTTCCCCAAGGTTTCGCCCTGCCAGGGATCAAACCCAAGTCTCTTGCTTGCAAGGCGAGTGCTCTAACCACTGAGCTACAGGACTCCAATTCTAACAAATAAAATCTGTGAAATAGATGTCTGTTACATATTGTGTAATGTTTTGAGAAAATAATTTGAGGTAAAATAAGTGTGCCTTAACAGCAGGGGTGTGCCTTTAACAAAGGAATGGCGTTTAGCGAGAGATGGCTTTAACAGTGGGAGTGTGCCCTTTAACAGAGTCTGTCCTTAAAATTTAAAATTTCTCGATCTGTCCAAAATATTACTAATTTTGGAATACGAAAAAAAATCAGACATCAGACGACAACATTTTGCGAAGTGATGTGAACTTTTATCGTGTTTCAAATACAGAAACATATACACACACAATATATACAGAGATAACACATTATCAGCTCACACTGACCAGCCCATGAGAAAGATGATGAAACTCAGCTCGGTGTCCGACACTGAGCCCAATCAGATGAACAGTGGTGAATTCAGTCTCCCAAGACTTTGTGTTTCCCCCACTGCCAATGTCGAGCCACAAAACCCTCTAAAGAGGAAAAGAATGAACAGCACAGAAACTAATGAGCAATCACTGGCCGTCTGATCCCGAAATAATAAGGATGCTCTGTAATGCTTGTCATTGCACTTGGGAGTAGAGCAATGTGGACAGCACAAAAGGCAGCCATATTGCCCCATCATGCCTGTGCCGGCTCTTTGAAAGAGCTACCCAATCAGCCCCACTGCCCTTCTCTTTCCCATAGCCTTGCAAATTGTTAGCTGTTAGTCGATGAGAGATTTTGACTTCTTGTCTGTAGCTACCGATGTGCTCCTCTTGTGAAGCCTGTCTCTTCAAGACTTCTCGTGGACGAAGGCATTTCGGCACTGACCACAGATGTCCACCATCAACGAGCAGGAGAGTGGAAGTAGATCGGATGTTTCATGTGGAGAAAAATATCAGCTTGATGGACCCAATGACCTGTAACTGTGCTGTAGCATTCTGTGATTCAATCTAATAGTGCTGATATTTGAGTAAGAAGAACATTACAATTAAACTGACAAATTCACCACAAATTTTCGCTATTCCAGGCTGCACATGTATTGTTTGGAATTCTTAAAAAAAAACACAGCAAGTTTAATGTTTTAATCTGGCATTATACAAGCTAATGCACCCTAAAACAAATGCCAATAATTTCCTGTAGATAAAGCAATTTTGTGCTGACAGGGCAATCCCAAAATTCATCACCTGCCAAGCACGATTGCAGCTGATGTCTCAATCGTTTTCTGTGAACTTTAGTGCTGTTTCTGTGTAAAGCTCTAGTTTAACACTACACGCAGATAAAACCGGATAAACTCTTGAGAAAACCTTTACTTCAACTTTCAACTTTTTTTGGGGGGGGGTGGAGCAAATTTGCAGCTTTCACCTCAGCACCTATTCTCAAAAAAAATCTGAATGTTGTGTGTTTTATATATTAAATTACAGTAATACAGTAACAATAATAATCCTTGCATTTGATATAGCGCTTTATCGCGTCTTTAAGACGTCTCAATTCTCTTCACAGAAGATACTGTAAAGTGAATTGACTGTATATTTGGTGGGCAAAACGCAGCAGCCAATTACTCACAGCATTATGTCCTACAAACAGTCGTGGATTGAATGATCGAGTGGATAGAGTATGGAACAGGCTCAATATGTCGAATCCAGTTTTAATCAGCCAATGCTAAGATACTCCACTTTGGTGTTGCCATCGCAGCCCTAAAGACCTTCCCATTCGCCTGTGCCTACGGTCACTTCCCCTTCCCCACGGCTTGGCATTATGCTCCACCACTGTCAAACGCTCCGCGACGCAACCCTGCGTGAGGGCCGCTAGATAAGTGCAAGTTGTTGTTGTAGTAGCCGTGACTCTGTTTTCACTGGTATATTCTCAGCAATTTCTTTCACTTCCTGCTTGCCAAAGGTCAGCGTCCTGCGTTCTGGATGTCAGAATGATTTCGAACAAGGGATTCTAGAAGAAAGTTGTGAGGTTAAGCTGAACAGTAGAGCTATGTGTGCAACTTCCTTAAATAGTTGCCTTTGTGGTTCCACCTGATGGGAGAGTGGGTGTTCTGGAAAGATGAGATCAAATGGACCGAAAAGCTTTCTTCATCTGAACCAGTCTGTCATCTGTCATCTTGTGAGTCCTTCAACTCACGGGTTTTTGGGAAGTGAAGCAATCCCCAGGCTCCTGAGGTACGTTCCACTTGACTCAGAATGAGTTGTACGATTTCAGCTCAGAACCTTCTGTACTGTCAGAGAAAGCCTTGCAATTGTACTTAGGGTAATTTCAAAAAACGTTGTAAATCTTGCTTTTGATAGAAAAAAAACACTAGCAACAAACAACAGGTTATAATAATAATACCTACTTTTGATATAGCACCTTAACACGTCTTTGAGATCTCTCAAAGCGTTTCACAGAATATACTGTAAACCAAATTGTTATTGTTTCTTCTTTTCTTTTAAGGCAATGTTTACCCCCTGGAAAATCTGCCAATCGACCAACGACTGGGTTTCTATCTATTGCTAGGTAAACAGAGGTTTCATACAATGCTTCTGAAACAAATTAATCGACCCAAACTGATCGTGGAGTCCTGTAGCTCAGTGGTCAGAGCACTCGCCTGGCAAGCGAGAGACCTGGGTTTGACTCCTGGCAGGGCAAAACTTTGGACAAGTTCCTTTACCCCACACTCCTGATAATAATCCCTCAAGAAAAAAAAACAATTATAAATTGTTCACTTCAATCTACAACTGTTTGTGGGACACTGCTGTGCGCAACTGGCTGCCACGTTTCGCCCGCAAATGTACAGTCAATACACTTTACAGTTTATTCTGTGAAGCGCTTTGAGACACATAAAAGACATGAAAAGCACTATATCAAATACGAGGATTATTATAACTCGCTTGTTTGTTTCAATTCTTTTCATGATAGATGGCTTTTGGCCATCTATTTATTTCAATTGTCAAGATGAGTTAGTGAACAGATCATACCAATCTCAGACCGCTCTATTCAGAGCTGTAAATAGTCTCATCACGTACAATCCAGACAAAATATACAAAACATTTCAAATCAGTTACACATTTAACGAGCGCACGGTTTATCAGCCTGCATTCAATACTGCACATGTTCTTAATAACCGTGGGTATATAATGTAATCTCATAGATACGCAGTGTAACTAGATGACTCCCACCTTTCTGCACAAATTACTTCCCACTTTGACCTTGCAAATGTACAAACAGAACTGCAGCTGGCGTGGTGGTAAAGGAGAAGGAGGAAGGGAAGAATGAATGGATATTAAGCCCGCACGCTATCTCCGCTATATCAACCACAATTTCCTAATATCCTACAACACCTTTGCGAGAGTGACCTCAGGGATTTGCTCCCAAGTTACCCGGATGGGACCAATGCTACAGTACACAAAGTGGAGGGAGGAGTCAAACCTCCTTCAGCAGACAAGTGGAAGGGAGGGATCTGTAGCAGAGGATCTAAATTATGTGATTTACAGAACATTGACGCAGGAAGTCCAACCGCAACGAATTAAAAGGCTTTCCATAAAGTACAAATGTTTCAGAAAAAGCCCAGTATTATAAGATTAAGCTGAACGTCAAACACCCAATTGTTTTCTTCCCTCCAGTTCCTCTCTTCAGTCTAGGTAATCTGGAGAACACGGAGAACTGCCCACAAAGGGAATTTATTAAGCTGCTTAGTAAATCACGTCAGCACTGACATGAGCTTCCCCTGCAAAACAAAACCCCTTCACAGTACTTTTAGGGACTTTCACCGTAAGACTATTTCAAATGCAGTACAAAAGTACAAATACTTCACTCTGAAAAGCAGGCATTTTTCACTGCTGCTCTTACCTTCCAAGTCTTAAGATTCAGGTTTCCCATTTCAACGATGGCCACAAGCCAATCATCACCGACACCACAACCAGAAAACCACACGAACTACCCAGACCAGTTCCCCCTTTTTTTTGTTCGCGGTTTTGTTGAGAAATCTCAACACAAACTGACCAGAGTTTACTGACTGCTCATCCTCAGCAACCACAGGCATCAAAGTTAATTGCAATGAAATCCAAAATAACCATTCTGGAAAGACTTTGAGTAACAGGCCATGACGAACTAGACAAATTTCTGAGGTGTTAAGGGAATCTGTTGGGAAACTGGGTGGATAGTTGGATGAATTCATGCGTGAAACTGCAAATATCTCAACTCTAATGCTAGTGCCCAAGACAAATGCAATTTGTGAACAGGAATAGGCCATTCCACCCCTGTTCCGCCATTTTATTAGATCATGGCTGATCTGTATCTCAACTCCAATTTAAATTTCAGAAGGTTAGAGGAAGCTTACAGGACTGACCTCTTTTCTCTTGGTGCATCTGCTGAAGGAGGTTCTCTTGTTTGGTAATTTGCTCAATATAAACCTGGTTCTCGCATTCCTTGTTGTGAACGAGCTCTTTGAGTTGTCCTCGGCAGAGATGGAGATGGCGCCGTAGCTTGGACTCTCTTCCATCCCGCTCTTTTACTTCCTCACTCAGCCACTGCAGCTTGGTCTGCCGAGACAAGCCATACTGTTAGTCAACTGCCAGGTACCTCGGAACCCACTTCCTAAAAAAAATCTATCAAATCCCGTAGAGAAGATAAAAACTGGAGTAGATATTTGGTCTTTACAGGAATAATAATAATTCTTGCATTTGATACAGCGCCTTATCAAGTCTTTGATCCATCTCAAAGCGCTTCACAGAATAAACTGTAAAGTGAATTGACTGTATATTTTGTGGGAGAAACACGGCAGACAATAGGCACAGCAGTGTCCCACAAACAGTCCTGATTCAAGTGACCAAATTATTATTACATTGGTGCTCCAAGCTGAGGTCAAATCACTGAAATGCTTCAGTTGCCCGGTAAGCACACTAAAATTGATCTTCCAAGCCCCTGCCAATGGTAAACATCAATAATTGTTTCAAGCACAACAACATGTGCTGGGATCAGCTGTGCTGTGTGGTAACAGTCAATTAGGGTACATCTGATCTGATCCAAGATGATCTGAAAAGAGTTTAGGTAAAAGGTTGCAGGATAGGACTGGATGAAGAAGGCCCTCTGATCTCACCCCTCCAGAAGTCAGCAGAAGAAACCACTTGCATTTAATACATAAATTTGATGGGTTATGCAATACAATATTCTTTTAGACATACTCAATGCATCTTCATTACTTCACATTCAACATTTATTGAACCTCATTTAAATATCACCACATTGATATTTCTACATGCAGTGCTTTACTCTGCATATACCTCACATAGACGGAGAGTGTCGCACACAGAGACATAAGAACCAATTTTCTGTATATGCTTCCTCGATTTGTTTATCCATCACATATTTTAAGAGAAAAGATATTCAACTGGAGAAGGGATGAAGGAGGGAGCAGGATAGAAATTTTAATCTCTCTATAGTCTCAGAACAATGTGAGCTTTACCAATACCAAACTGCAAAACAGTTCTGAAGCCCCTAGCATAAAACTGGGTCTTATGTGTCAAGCAATTCCAGACATTATTCAAACACATAGTAGACAGAACTACAAAGTCCAGATTGGTATGCAACCTCTGTATGAACAGTGAAGGAAAATCTATCTTGATGGGGAAGGAAAGATACAGGATAAAGAAATGCCGGGTGCATTTCATTCCAAACGTAGTAAAATAATAATAATCCTTGCATCTGATATAGCACCTTTCACATCAGTAGGATGTCCCACAACGCTTTCAAAGGATTTGATGTATTTTATAGCCAGAAAATGCAGCAGCCAATTTGTGCACAGCAACATTCCACAAACAGCCATGAAGTGAATGGAATAGCTAAAGTAGAAAATACTTACTGCAATCCAATTAAAAGAATTGCCAAACATAATAAAACTTTGCCAAAGTGTGAGTGCATTACAATACATTTCAGTGCATCGCAATGTGTAAACAGGTAACTTCACATAAAATTATGAATTATTATCAAGCATGAATATTTGAGGTCAAAAATAAATTTGCTAAATCACCAGTTTTATTTAGAATGGTATGTTTTGACATTTATTATTTAGATGCATACTGAGCTGTGGCGCCTGGGTTGGAATTGCTAAGGGGGCTACTCTTCACAGCAGCAAATCCAAATGAAGCGGTTCAGTTGTCACCCGGTGGTCATGGATGGTTGCTGGTACTTTCCTCAGCTGACTGAGGAGCTCTGAGCAGCAGCATCCCAGTGGCAGCTCCTGCCGTGAGAGACCTGTCGGGCCAGCACAAGTGGTGCCGCAGAAAGACGACCTGCTCCCAAAAATCCTATCAGGCACTCAATCGTTTAATCCGTGTTGCAGGTAGTGATGTTTATTCCATTGGGTTTCAATGCCCCATTCAGCCTGCAGTGTATCTAACGTGTTACAGTTGCCTCCTATTGGCTGTGCTCAGAAAGCACGTCAGAATCATCTGTGGAGAAATATGAGAACATGGATTTGCACATCTTTTGACTTGCGAATACTGAGTATACAACACTAAGACTATGAGAAGTTTGAACATCTAACGGCGCAAAAATGGGTGTAAACAAATACTGACTAATGCCATTTATATCTGCTTGGAAAGAACTTGCTCATATTCTGTTGCCACACATTGTTGCTTAGACATTTAAATATAAAGTAACAGCAAACTGTTTGATAAAATAAGGCATTGCTCACCATGATTCAGCGATGTCGAATGCTTGCTCCATGTAAGTGGAACATGTCTTCTGCTATTGTTAGGTACATCAGTCCCTTGCATTGCAGCTCTTCATTATACGAGACAAATGTTTCTGCCCACCCAGGTCACACAGTTGAGGCACAACTGTGAAAGAGGGATAAGCCTCGCCTGGGTGAGTCAGGTGGCTTGCTTCAGATAAGCACAAATGTAAAATTAAAACTAGACATTTTTTTTTATTTCAAGCTGGCAATATGGAAGTTGACGTCACTTTGTGTCGGGATGTAGCTGGAGCCGAGTACTGAGCAGCATTTGTTTTCCCTCTAAAAATATCCCGAATCCATCCAGAATCTACGCCGCCCATGTTCTGACATGTTTATTCTGAGATAAAATGTGCAAAGTGTGCTGCCAGGTGGCAAGTGTGTAAAGTCTGCTGCCAGGTGGCAAGGCAACATGCTTTTGTAACAAAGCGATAGGACATTGAAGCATGCGAGCTCCAGGAGTGACTGACTCAGTCATCCCACATCATTATTTATTTTCAACTGGCAAAGAGAGTCAGCAACGAGCTTGGGATCATAGCCCCGATCTGCAGATGGTGCAAGAGGCAGCAAGTTATTAATGATAATAATTAATCCTTGTATTTGATCTAGCGCCTTATCACGTCTCAGAGATGTCTCAAAGCACTTCACAGTATGTACTGTAAAGTGAATTGACTGTATATTTTGTGGGCGAAACGCGGCAGGCCAATCAATCGTGCACAGCTGTGTCCCACAAAACAGTCGTGGATTGAGTGACCATAATATTATTGTTATTTTGTTTCAAGTTTCTCAAATATAAAACACCTTCAGTGGCTCAATTTTGCTCAGTAGTCACCCAACTGGGGGTTCATTTTTGCGTGAATCTTCCCAAATGCTGATGATGTTTAAACTGAAAACAATCTTTAAAATAAAATAATCCTCACATCTGACACAGCGCCTTTCACGTCAGGACATCTCAAAGCATGTCAGAGGATACTGTAAAGTGTAATAACCGTGAATTTTGTATGCGAAAATGAAACGATCTCTACCAAACTAGCACACAGCAAAAAACTGACCTCCTTGCAATTCGATGCACCTCTAGCTTTTAAGCCCTCCACGTTGAAGAGAACTCCCACACCAGCGCAAATCCAGAGCTGTTTTTAAAAAATAATCGGAACTCCTTTCACAGCATTTAAACAGCAATTGAAGCAGAACATCAGAACTGGGGTCAGGCATCAAGCCAGCTTTGCCTTTTATTAGATGCTGGCAGCAATTCTCCTATCCCTAAACACTCTCACTGTCCAAGTAGCCATTTATCTATCGCAGACTTGGGGGTTGTTGATTATTACATGGAAACATTGGAAGGTACAGATCTGGAAGAGAACAGTGTTGCTCAGCTGACCCCTCAGCAAAGTAAAAATGGAAACAAATTCTAATTGTGGGCAGCCAAGCAAACTAAGCTTTGCGTGGACACAGGCAATGCATCCGAGAACCATTCAAAGTTAAAATGGAGAAGATGAAATCTACATTCTCCAGAAGGCAAAGGATGCCAAATGTCAGCTTGCATTTCTCAGTAAACCAAGTGCAAAACTGACTGGACCTAACAGACTTTTCCATAGTGCGCACAGCTCCCTGTCATTCACATCGCAGAAATGATTTGGTCTCTTTCTGATGTAGTCCAGAGGAGAAGTCTAATATTCCAAATCCTCGAAGATACTTCATGAAAGGAAATCCCGTCCTTCCCAAGCTCTTATTGCCAATGCTCCGGAGCCCTGTTTTTTCACTGGAACAATAACATGAACATTAGACTCATCACCTCGAATACATACTTTCATTTCTGCCAGCCAGCGATGAGGATCGTTCTCTAATCCAGGCATAAGCGATATCGTCTGCGGAGCAAATCAAATTATTGGTTATGAACAGGAGAAATCATTTGGGAGAAGAAATATTACTCCGAAAATTACTGTTCAGGTAACACTTTCATCTCATTTTATAATTTCATTAGAAACAAAATTATCTCGAGTTGAGAACGTGAAGTTTGACACAGGATTGATTTTCTGCTCAAGTTGTGCAGCACTGTATCTCGGATGCTCACCCGCTCCAGCAGGGCACTCCAAAGTCCCCAATAGTCAAGTTGATCTTTGGTGCACAATTAGCTAGGTTTGTTATGCAGCGAATAGGCAATTTGCAAGGTGACTGTAGGTTATGTGCTTGCTAACTGCAGCAGCATACCTGCAATCACTGTATGACATTTTACAGTTTTGTAAGCTTCAGATCTTGCGAACTGTAGCAATGTCCCTCGAGCCTACAGGATTGTTATACTTGTAAAGGAATACTCACAACCTGTCCATAACGTAATCACTAGCGCATGGGATAATGGATGACGAGCAATGAGTTACAAGCAGCAATTCAATCCAGAACTTCTGATGATACAACAAAGCAGAAGAGCTGGCCGTAACAGTTTGGGAACATCAGCAGAACCCCTGATAGAATTATTACCTTAAATTCACTGTCAGCTATTTGTTCTGGTTTAAACCACGCACTCAAACAATTTAGCTCTAAATCTTTTGCACGCTCTCTTAAGGCTGCGGGATGGGTATGCCTGGCTTGGCTGCAGTCATGAAACACGGCAGATAGTCATCAAAAATGAATTAAAGGTACAGGAAACAAACTGCACAAGTTTTATCCCAACCTGTTCCCAAACCCATCCCTCTCTTCTGCAATCTCCTGGATCTCTCCTTCACTTAAATCCATCTTTATTACTCCTTGGAAATTTGCTTGTACGCATCTTCTCCATCTTGTCTTCAAATGACTACCCTAATGTCCCCAATGCCTCCTTAAATTAGAGAAGCCTCTACAAATTCTCAAATGATCCATATTCTCTGTCCTAGTCTATCCACCATCACCAGCATGAATTTCCGGCACATCCCCACCATGGAAGCCTTGCTATGCTCACACATCTACAACTCTTGCTTTTGATCATCTCCATTCAACGCAGTTTGGCACTGAAGATGTTGCCATCCATTAAAGATCTGCTCATAGCTATCTGAAGGTTCCTCCCTATCCACAGTGTGTGTACATTGCATTTGGTTGTTCAAATACCATTTTTCTCAACTCGGGCTCCAGTCTCTGTTCTACCTTGCCCCTCTCTCTCTCAAGCAAAGGAACAACCCTACTCAATTATCTGAACTCTGCCCAGCTTTCTGCTGATGATTCCACTCCATAGCATCACCTTTCTCCAGAGCAAACTGAGCGTGTTCAATTTTAGTTTTTGCCAATGAAAATTCTTCAGTGTTTTCCAACTCTCGCAATTTCATGCATCAACCTTCCATTCGATCACCTTTGATGGCTGCTGCACCTTTCACCATACTTCATCTGTCGATATCCTTGGTCTTGCTCTTTCCTCCGGTTTCATAAGAAAAGCTCACATTTCCAAATGCACAACTCAAGTTTCAACTATCAAGTCAAACATAGATTCTCTTCCCTGCAGCAACTCTCAAGCCCAAGGAAACTCTCCCAGGACCTCTCTTGGCCAGACTACAAGCAAAGACTTCTGGTCTTAAGTTTGATTAACACGCCTGTCGTTCGTCTGATTTTCTTCTTTTGTTCTTTCCCCCTAGCTCATTGACACATCACAGACTGAACGTGCTGACATTAGACATTCTTCCAACACATTACATTGAATCTCCTCACCTTCTTCTGTCTCTACTTCTTCCTACAGTTTACAGGTTTTTCTGAAAGACAGGTTTATTATCACCGAGACAATGCTGGTTTTCTCTTCCAGCTTGGTCAATGGTCTGAACCATGGACCTTGGCCCCACCTCATGTCCGTCAAGTTTATCAGCAGCAGATTACGGAGAACTTATCTATTCAGTCAACCACATAAATTTTAAGGAATCCTCCAAAATCAACCAAATCGAAGAATAAATAAATATTCCTTCATGCCAGCAACAAACAGCAGCAGAATAAGCTTTGGCCATGCAGTTGTCAAAATTAAGAGCAATTGCAATTGTAAGGACAAGTCATTTCTCTCACTGCTGAGTATAACAACACTGACAAATTGACTAATTTCCTACATTTGTTTTCGTTAAAAGCCTCGTGGAACATGAGAGCATCGCTCTCGACACAGACCATGTCAGATCATGTGGAAGGACTTTCCCACAGATTGGGCTTGTGTACTTTTGGGTCACTGGAAGCAATCCCCATTTTTAAGACTCCAATTTCTTATCAAAGAGGGCTGCTGAGAAACACCGACAATCAGATACTGATGCATTTGCGACAACAACAACTTGCATTTACATAGCATAACGATTCAGCAAGTTTAGCAAGGCTTGTTAGTGGATACTATCAATTTGCTACACTTAATGTTAGTATTTTCTTGCCCCCAAAGTCTTTTAATAAGAAATAACCTGGCACCCTCTTGTGGGAGGACTTCACCAAGCATCAGTGGAAAATCACAAAGGAACCATGTCGAAAAACCACAGTGGAAGAAATTCTACCAGATGCACGGAAGCAATTGCACTGCCTATGGCATTCATCCAAATGTCCTTAACCGTTAATTGGCACTAATCTCATCAAACCACACAAAACAAGCACGTCAAAATATATAATTTGGGATTAGTTTTGATATATACCAATAGTCCATGATGGTGAGATGTCGGGAGAGGATAAAAGAAATGGAAAAGCATAAGTTTGCACCAATCTATCTATGATAGTTGGTTGTGACTATTGTTTTGAACTGCCTATTTTCCCATAATAATCTGTTCACCTGCACCTTTCAATAATGAAATAAAGGCTCACCCAATTACATCGAAACACTTTATAACAATGCAAGGAAAACACGAGCTGTATGCTTTCCTGTCAGTCACTGCTATTGGAGCAGGTTGGTTTACCAAAGTGAGGCAAGATACGAGCTTAAGACCTGCCATACTGATTCCTCAACACGCAGAGTTTCCATTCACAGCCTCTTCACTATGAGGAACTGTCAAGCACAGTCCGATGCGTCCTTATAATGAGACAGCAAGGGAGTGTTTGTACAAAGAGTCAATCCATAGTGGTCTTAAGATTCCTCCAAGCAGCCCGCTACAGAGTGACACAGATGCAATCTTTGCATCCGGTCCTCTCTCTTATCCATGGCCAGAAAATGAGACGTTGGGTTGAGGAGGATGGGGGGGTGGGGGGAGAGACATTTTGTTTTAGTTAGCTACCTACTGTTTGGGGGAGACTTTTAAAAAACAATTCTATTGTTAGTTTTCTAATCTTATAGAAGATTACCGTGAACTTCTCATCAGCGTCCTTCACGACACATTTACACACAGCTTCGATTTCGTTGCCGATGGAGTGAAGTATCGTCTCTCTTTCGGTTTCCAGCCTGCAGATCTTCTCCTTAAGGTGGAACGCCTTCTCCTCCAGTCCCCTGGCACGGTCTTCCCCACTCGTCACCAGCTTCTCCTGAACAAAGCAAAGGTCAATGACCGGAGGTCAGAGGTGGCAAATCTATCATTCTACAGCTTTGTGAATCTCACAGGACCCGCGTTTAGTTCCCAGGCAGGGAACAAAGTTAATAATCTGGTTGATGGGAGTTTATTATGCATCATTTGCATACAAGTATGTTGTGTCTTTTGCATGCACCATTGGCTGTCAGGCCTTTCTGTCCCGCCCCCACCCTTTGGAACTCTAATCTTCAGTCCCTTCGGCTCAATCTCTCCCTTGTGTCCTTCAAGGCCCATCTCAGGACCCTCCTCTTCTACAACACTTTCAGTCACCCGCCTTCCCTCCCCCTTCCTGATCCCAACCCCCAGGTAGGATCCAAATTCTTGATAGTCCAGCGCCTTGGGGCAGAAGTTTAGCAAACATCTTGGACCACTGACCTGCCAGACTCTCTCTTACTCTCAAAGCTATCCCACCTAATATTCCCTCTCCCACCCACCCAAGCATTTCCCTTTGAAACATTTTAAGCAGCGCTACACATCATTTAGCAAAAGCCTCAGGTTGAACCTGGGCTCTGTTTTCCTAAATGCAACACGTCCAGGCTTTTCATCGCCGACACAACGATTAAGCTGTTGTGCCTGTTCTTCAGGCTTTGCATCAGTGTAAGCCACTTTATCCCCATGCTATCACGGCCACAAAATAATCATTCATTTTCAGCTCCTTTCCTTCATCACAAATTCTTACTCCGTCCATACTTCTGATAGCTCTTCCTTTTACATTGTCTTTTTCTCCACCACTCCTGCAGGTATTTCTCATTCATATCGAGGATCACATTAGTCTCAATTAGTCCAAAACCCATCCATAAATTCTACATACTCCATTGCTTCTTTGCACAATGTCTCTCCAACCACAATTTAAAAACAATTACCCTATTTTACATTATAGCACCGCTAGCAATGGGGACAGTCTTGAGAGAATTAATTAGACACTTCTACCTTGCAATCCTTGGCAAGGTTCCTTTTAGGGCCTTGGTAAACAAACACATTTAAAGGGGGAATGAGAGGTGTCCTGCATTGTGCAATTAACCAAGGAAATAAGTTATCAACCTTTGATTGGCTGTGCATTTCATAATTAAGGACGACTGCACTTGATTACATGTGGCGTACAGTACTCGTGGTGCATAATAGACTATCAACCAGGATTTTGAAACAAGTTCATAAAATGGAACCAAACGCCTCATGATGAGAGTTGAAGTTACCCCGTAGGTATACTACAAATGGTTTAACAGCAACTGTCTAATGGTACAAGAAAGCCATGTTGTGCACATGCTGGCAGGTGGAATAATTGAGCGAAAAGGACTGAATTAAGCTGAAAATATATCAATTGAAATGAACGGCCTGGCAGCTTTTTTTTTTAAAAACTCCTTCGCACACACAGAGTGCAGGGTGAAAAGGAAAGCAACACCTCAAGGGCAGAGAAGCTCACAGGGATGCTTGTAATAATCTCTACCTCGGTTGCACGGTAAATTACTTTTCCATCTGCATGCAATCTTAAGAAGAAATGGTGTGAAAAGCAGCCTCTCCCACGACTGGAAATAAAAAATACATTACACAAGCGTGCAAAATGCTTGGTATCAAATCCAACTGAGAAACGAAAAGCCACACGCAGTGGCGATAGGTTTATAATTACATAACGTTAGCCTGGTGCACCTCACTTCCCACTGTAGTGCAGAGCAGACTCGACAGGCGACATGACCCACTCGTATTCCGATGCTTTCAGATGCACCTTGAGGGTACATTGCGGTATGCTAGCTGTGCTAACATTCACCATATGTCATCGGGGTTAGGAAGATAGGCTAGAGGAGCGGAGGAACACAGTGGGCAGCATAAGGATCCAAAAAAGAAGGCTAGCAAGGCAACATCACTTTGGCTTTTTGCTAAATATTGCTTTTATATAAAAAAAATTGTGTCCTATGACCTATAATGTCTAATTTTCTCCCAGTTAGCATATCGCTCTCTGCTTCAGGTCCCCATTGTCCTTTTGCTAGGGGTGCAGTTCCACAGGCTGCCCTTACAATCCTGCGCCCCAGTGGCCATTTTTCATTTGATATTAGCGCTTTATCACGTGGTTGAGACATGTCAAAGCTAGGTAAACAGAGGCGTATGGAATAATGAATCTTGCCTAAGGTTTTGCCCTGCCTGGGATTTAACCCCGGATCCTCTCGCTTGCGAGGCAAATACTCTAACCACTATGCTACAGGATTTCTAATAATTAGCAACTAGAATCATGGTGGTGAGGAACGGTCTAATAGATAATGCCATTAGCTACGCGGGTTACTTAACTGTAGAGGGCGTCACAGCCGAGCCTGACCATCTCATCACCTGGCTGCCAACCCAGCCAGCTCCCCACTTATACATACACACACACACACACACACAGTAGAAGGTGCTGAAGAAAGACAAGAAGCAGGAACTCTCTATTAATTCTATCCTCCCTAACCCATGGCCAATTTAGCCTCCCCCATGCAACCCAGCTAACACTAGAAAACTCAGCAGGGGGCCAGAATTTGAACCAGCGAGCGAGGTAATCTGCAGCTCTATCCACTGCAGCTCTTCCCCCAACACACAGGTTTCATTAGGATCAGAATTAATTAAGGGGGTCAATTAAAAGTTAATTCCAAAAACCCTGATTAGGTTAGAGAAATCCGTGTAGGAATTCATTGTATTTAATTTGCTGTTGTGGAAAGGGCCACGGTTAAACCACAGATGATGATCTTTTTTAAAACATAAGCCCATTGTCAATTTAGAATGGCACCTCTTGCCCTCCTACTACCACAGATTGCCACATGATTATGCAAACCAGGAGTGAAAATTAAAGCTTCGATTGCTCAACTTTTGCATCCAATAGCTGAGAATCAATACATAGTGCAAATAAAAACAGCAGTTGCTGGGAACACTCAGCAGGTCAGGCAGCATCTATGAAGAGAGAAAGTGGGTTAACGTTTCCGGTCGATGACCATGTGTCAGAACTGGGGGATGTTGGAAGGGAGGAGTTTATAAGAACAAAAAGAGAAGAGGGCAGGACAAAGGAAAAAATAAGGTGGAGGACAGGAGATGATGAAATCACATAGCCAGTACAGGCACAATAGGCCGAATGGCCTCCTTCTGTGCTGCAATGTTCTCGTGCAAACACTGGGCACAATTGTCAGCATCTCCCTCCTGTGTACAGTTGAGGGTCTATCAGCAGAGCTTCCACAGCGTCAGTCCATAACGCTGCACTTTTATTGGTTTTGTTTCAACTCGTTATTCATACGTCTCTCTGCGTGGAACATAAAGGAAGGGATGCTGCATCTCCAATGCGTAATTTCGTCTACAAAATACAGTCAATTCGCTTTACAGTATATTCTGTGAAGCGCTTTGAGACGTCTCAACAATGTGATAAGGTGCTATATCAAATGCAAGGATTATTATTATTATTAAAACAGCTTCCCTTCCATCAGATTCAGAATCTCTGCTTGTAAAGATCGAGGCTTTCTAACATTTTCCAGTTGGTAACGTTTTCCATATTAAAAACGACACACACAACAAAAGCAATTATACTGAAACACGTCTCTCATTCAAGGTGCTGATTGACCTCTGCACAGTTCCAGAGTTTACAATGGTATTTTCCTATACTGCGGCTTTATATAACATTTAAATCCACAAAGGGAGCTCTGATAAACAAGGCGCTTTGACCCATTTGATCGCATCCTTCCAGAATACACGATGGGCTTCCTGAGATCACAGTTGATAATAAAAATAATAATCCCTGCATTTGATATAGCTCCTTATCACATCTTCGAGACATCTCAAAGTGCTTCACAGAATATACTGTAAGTGAACTGACTGTAAACTGTAAACCAAACCCACACTGTCTTCCCATTACAGCATCAAGCAGTTTCTCCAACGAGTCCAAAGTTGTGTCTCAATAAAAAAAGGCAAGCTTGTAAATAAACTGTATCCAAATTACATTTGCTGACCCTAATTAGACAACATCAGCAATAACTGCTCTGTGTCTGCCAATTTCAGCACAGATAGAATAGGCTTTCAGGACAATAGGTAGAGTTTATAGAGAAGTCAGCTTCGTGCTTGCTTTCAATTCTACCCCCATCGCCCAACCCCAACAGCTATAACAAAAAAAGGTACATGTGTATAGCGCTGTTCACGACGGGAGGAGGGCCCAAGGCCTTGGCCGATCAAGGATTTGGAACTAATCTGGGGGTTGGGATCAGGAGGGGTGGAGGGCAGGAAAGGTAGGAGTAGGAGGGTGACCGAAGGCGCGGTCGAAGAGGAGGACCTTGAAGGAGGCAATGGAGGTGGCAAAGCAACTGTGGGATGGAGATCCACAGGCAGAAAGCCTGAAGGCCTGACCTGCGATGGTGGGGTGGGCAGAGCGGGGGGCATGGAGCAGGCCGGAGCCCGCTGAGCAAGAGGGGACAGAATGGGTGGGCATTAGATAATAATAAGTTGTTGCATTAGATACAGCGTCTTATCACATCTTCGAGACGTCTCAAAGCACTTCACAGAATATACTGTGAAGTATAGTGACTGTACATTTTGTGGGGGAAATGTGGCAACCAATTGCGCACGGCATAGATTCTTCCAGTGCTCAAGATAATTCATATTTTAATGATCATTCAATAAATAAAACTTCTAAGCAATGTCTTAGCAATGTATTAGTTAAAAAATCAAGTTGAATGTTTCCAATTACAGTCTATTCAGAGTTATACGCTCAATTTTTTTCTGCGAATAATTCCCAATCCTCAGCTCTTCAGCAAAACCGTCTGCGTGATATATCATTCAGGCTGAAAGGGCATAAATTCACTAGAATAAAGGCAATCTACAACCAGTTATGTGGGTGTCATGCATGCAGAAAAAGATGATATGATCTCAGGCCAAATGCATTACAGAAGCGTATGGATGGAATGCTTAATGAGGTTCACATTACTTTACTTTCTTGCCAGCGTTCAGCTGTGATAATCT